GTCAAGGCCTAATGCAGAATTCTCAGGTCAGACTTTCTCCAGTGCTGCTGCTAGGCCCTGTATTTGATTTTGGTGGTTGGCCCAGTTTCTGGGCCAGTCTCTCGTGACCAGGTCTGGTAGCAGAGCCAAGAGACACAATGAGGTAACTCATGGAGAAAGGACTGCTTCTGACCACTTAATCCTGGGGCTGACGGTACTAGACACCTGTGTTTCTCCTGAGTGCAAACTCTTTCTCTGAAAGTATTTGTGAAGGCCATTGTCACATTTATTTTCTTCCATCGGTCCCTGTCCTAGTTTGCCTTCTGTTGCTGTGATGGGCATCATGACCTAAAGCAACTTGGGGAGGAAAGGGTTTACTTCATCTTACAGTTTATTGTTGAGAGAAGTCAAAGCAAAAACTCAGTGCAGGAACCTGCAACAGGAACTACAGAGGACCTACTTACTGGTTTGCTTCTTTTGGCTTGCCCAGCTGCCTTTTTTATATAGCCCAGGCTTAGGGATGTCACTTCCCATGGTGGGCTGGGCCCTCTTACATCAATTAGCATTTAAGGAAATGCTTAACAGATATGATCACAGGCCAGTCTGATCTGGGAAGTTCTTCAGCTGAGGTTCCCTCTTCCCAAGTGATTCTATGCTTGTGTCAAGCTGACAAAGCTAATTTTGACAGTACCTGTCCCCATGCTAATTAGATAGCAAGTTGATCATCTAATTTCACTCCCTTCACCACTAACCTGCGTGCAATTTTTCATTTTGCAATAATCTTTAGGCTTTTGGGGCTGGAGAGATGGGTCAGTGGTCAAGAGTACTGGGAGCTTTTACAAAAGACCTGGGTTTGAATCCCAGCACCCACATGGTGGCTAATAATTGTCTGTAAACTCCAATTCCAGGGGATACAATGCTCTCTTCTGGCCTCCACAGGTACTGTATGACACGGGTACACTTACATACATGTAGGCATAGCACTCATACACATAAAAATTTAAATTTAAAAAAAGATAAAAAAATCTTTAGGTGTTGGCCTTCTGTTATATCAGAGTGGGGAGGCAAGGCACGTGTCCTAAGCACGAACCATGATGTTATTCCTCTATGACAGGAGTCCTGGATCTTCTGTGCTTCCAGGTATCAGAAATAAGCAGGCTTTGGCCTAGATTCTGTGGCAGGTATTCTCCTGTACCTGGCTTGTCATTCTTGTCTGAAGATACCCTTTGTTCTCTTTTTTTATGCCTGCAGCTTAAGCTAGTAACTAGCATACCTTTCCTTACCCCCCTTTATTAGAAGCCTTTGCGGAGGCTAGCCCAGGGAACTTAGAGGAGTCAGGGAGCTATCAACAGCAGCTCTCTGCTCCTGTAAAATGGGGATGGAACACCAGGGACAGTATGCCTTTGGAGCTCCAGATCCACTGCTATGTTGTAAGGTCTTGCTCATGTGCTTGGCAGGACCAGCTATACATTTCTGATTTTAGACGGTGTGTTACTCCTGAGGACTAAAATTCAGAATGTTTACAAATGAAGGGTTTGAGAAAACAACTTCATTCATGGAACTACATTATGCAATGCTACTATTGGCTAATGGTAATTTTTGGGAAATAGCATTACAAATCTTAAAAAAAAATCCCTAAAAAATTTAAATTACCTTGCAAAAAGTAATAGTTTTTTTTTTTTTTAATACATATTTCCCTTTGGTTGGTTCTCCAGCCCCATCTCTCCAGCCTGGCTCTCCCTCCTGCTGTATGTTTCATACTATCTTCACCTTACTCTCTTGTCTTCCCTATGTTCCTCCCTTAAAGCCTTTTTTTTCCTCAGTAACACAGGTAGGTACTGTTCTAGTTTCTTACCTTTCATCCATAATTACTCCCTCCATACAAATGTATCAGTTAGAGGTTAGGATCTGCATATGAGAACATATGGCATATGTCTTTCTGAGCCTGGGTGCATATCTTCCTAAAAAGCTAACTCTTTTTCTTTTTGAAGTACTAGGGATTTAGTTTAGTACCTTGTACATACTAAGTATGCATTGTACCACTAACATCTATCCCTTGCCTTTTTTTACTTTATTTTTTTTACAAACTTAAAAAAATTGGGTCCTCTTGTATATGCGCATATGCACTGTGTGTGCTGTGCTGTATGTGTGGAGGTCAGAGGATAACTTGTTCTTTCTTTCTACCACATGGGCTCAGGGGGTCAGGCTTGGTGGCAAGGGCCTTTACCTCCTGAGCTATCTTGATGACTCTAGTTTTTAGTCTTCAGACAGGGCTTCTTGCTAAGTTGCCAAGGCTGGCCTCAAACTGTGATTTCCTCCCTTGGCTTTTTAAAAAAATTTTTAATTTATTATTTTAATTTTATGTGTATGAGTGTATTGCCTGTATGTATATGAGTGCACCCGTGTCGTGTTCGGCGGAGGTCAGGTCAGAAGAGGTCTTCAGATTCCCCTGGAGCTGGAGTTAAGGACAGTTCGCAGCCGCCATGTGGGTGCTGGGAATTGAACCTGGGTCCTCTGCAAGAGCAGTCAGTACTCTTAACCACTGAGCCATCTCTCCAGCTCCTCCATAGGCTTTCTTAATAGCTGGGATTACAGGTCTGTATCACTAAGGGCTGTTAAGACAATTCTTTAAGAAGTAAACTCAAGGAGCTGGATAGATGGCTCAGCAGTTAAGAGCATACACTGCTGTTCCAGAGGACCTGAGTTTGATTCCCAATATCCATATCAGGCAGCTCCAGGGTATCTAATGCCTTGGGCCTCCTTGGACACCAGCACTCATGAAAGTAGTAACTGTGAGCCTCAAACTTCAGCTGTCTTCCTCTCCTCTATTCCCTTTCTTCTGTCTTCTCCTTTTTTTTTTTTTTTTGAGACAGGGTCTCCCTGTAGCCCCAGCTGTCCTGGAACTCACTATGTAGACCAGGCTGGCCTTGAACTCACAGAGATTCACCTGCCTTTGCTTCCTGAGTGTTGGGACTAAAGGCGTGTGCCACCACACCTGGCTCTCTCTCCTTTCTTTCAGGACCAGGTTTCACTATTTTTGCCCAGACTGTCCAGGAACTCTCAATCCTTCTGCCTCAGACTCCTTAGTGCTGGGATTACAAGTAAGTGCCACCATGCTCAAAGAGACTTAATTATTTAGAAAACATTTAGCTATTTAATATTTCTAGAATCTAACATGCAGGATGTAAAGAAAAGAATTTAGTTTTTCCAGACGGACAGCTAGTTGTTCCAAAACTGTTGAATAATTCATTCTGCTCTGTGTTTCACTGATCTATTAATATTTGTCTAGCTCTCTGTCATTATCATGTTGTTTTGGTCACTGTGACTGTATAAGACATTTTGCTGTCTAATAGGGCAAGGCCCCTTTAGTGCTTCGTTTTTTGTTTTTAATTTTTCTTCAAAGATTCTTGGCTGTGCACATGTGTTTAGTCTCCTGGATGAATTTTAGAATCAACTTGTCAAGCTCCAAAATCTTCCCACTGGGATTGGAATTGAAATTGTATTGAATTGACATCATTATAATATTGAATTTTCTCATCAGGAACATGATTTCTTTTCATTTGGTTAGGCCATTTTGACTTTAAATAAGTTCTCTTGTTTTCTCTTACAGATATGATACATTTCTCAAAGTGTGTATCTTTTTAGTTTTATTAAACAGGATTTTCTTTTTCCCTTTGACTTAAAAATTTTTTTTAAAGTACTAATTTACAGAAGTACACTCAAACTAACTTAGGCAAAGGGGAAAAAAACAAACCAGAGGGAGAATTCTTTGGAAGGCAGCCAGGGCTTTGCCTGCAGGCCAAGGACAGAGAGGGGAGTGGGCCTCACATGGGGGATGGGAACAGGGCCTACTTAGCTCCTGTTACTTCGTCTTTTAGGTTGATTTTTTCTCTCTGTGTTGTTTAGTTTTATTTTTGGATGTTCCCCATTTCTGGAAGCACAGGGATGGAGAAAAAAAAACTGGTTATGGGACAACCCTTGTGTAGTGGAGTCTCAGAAAATAACTGAGCGCTAGGGAGATGAGGCTAACACAAGGGTTTCAAGACACAACATCAGATCTTCAAAAGACTGGGTTTCTTGTCTAAGAGAAGTTGACTAAACAGTTAAAGGGAAGATTCTCCCCCATCCCCACCCCTTGTTTCAGATGATAAACAGGGACAGATATTCTAAAGTTATGACACGTACTGGATTTTAATCCCACCTTGTAATAGCATGCTAGACATTGCTATATCCCTGGCCCAAAATTTGACAACTTTGGGATAAAGATGTCTGACCCTATTCCTATTCTCAACTGGCTTTTACCATTCATTTTGACTTTCTCATGGTGAAAAGGGGCACTTCATAAAAGACAATCTCCTCCAAAGCTCTAGATAATCTATCAAAATTTCCATAATGAAGTCCTGCAGTTGTCAGCTTTTGACCAGCAGCCGGGAAAAGTTACAGAAGGAACCTGGAACCTAGAAACCTAGGCGCTCTCCTTACTCTTTGAGTGACCTTCACTCAATAACTAACCTAACCTCTCATTTCAAACCGGGGAACTTTTTGATTCTGGTGTGCCGAGCTGAAAGCGAAGAACTAGGTTCAGGGGGATCTCACTAACTTGAGAGCGTGCTATTGCTGAAGGAAACATGCTAAAGAGTTCGCAGACTTTTGGACTGTGTGGCCAAGGGGATTCAGCGCGGCAGCCCGGCGGGCCTTAGCGCTTACACGCAGACGCTGGAGAACTTCCCAGGCGAAGGCTCTGTAGCTGGAAAACCAGTGTTCATTTTGGATGAGACCTTTACCCTTAAAAAAAAAAAAAAAATCCCATTTCTCCAAACTTAGCTTCCCCGCCCAGAATGCAAACAAGGAGTCGGTTTTCCCGGCTGGGGGCCCAGCTCGGGGATCCAGCCCAGCTCAGGAAGACAGACAGCTCGCGGAAACTCGCCCGCCCCACGCTAACGTTACAGGGCCTGGGGGCGTGGCTTCCGGCAGCGGAGGTCGGCTTTCCGCTGGTCCTCTGCTCGACTCCCTTCCGGGGCGGGACTTCCTGCTCTTAACGAGTAGGGCTGCAATAGTGGTTGGAGGGCCGAACCCACGGTCGGTCCGGCTCACGAGGCTGATGTTCCGGAAAGGGGCATCCGAGAGGACGCTCCTTCTAGCTTTCTCCTTCACGCGACGCCTCCATTTGTACAAAAGGCCTGGGCTTTTCGCACCACCACCGCCCAACTGAGACTCTTCCGCTTCCTCTTTTCCCAGGCTCCGCCCCCAGCGTCGTGTGGCCATGACGACCACTCCTCAGGACACAATAGTGTGGAAACTCGCCGGGCTGCTGCGGGAGTCCGGTGAGTGAACTTCCGGTTGCACTGTGTCTCGGGCGACGTGGGTGTGCGTCCTACCTTCCCGAAACACTCCCGCAGGGTCAGGAGATTGTCAGAGATCGCTCATTTCTTTACCCTCCTGTTGTTTGTTCATTGCGATGCATTGCTGACAGAGTCATGTGTCTTTGACAGTCTAAACTCTAGCCATCTCTAGTGCCATTTCCCCCTGCCTTATCTGATATTCCCAGAGGGAAGTGATCATTACTTGACTAAGCACCCTCAGCCAACAACTGTTCATGGTCACGAGATTTGGAGTAAGACCCACGTCGGTGTAGTCTCAATCCTCTTTCAAACTAGGGTAAAACTGTTTGAAGTTTTCAGACTTTCAGTACTCTTCACAGATAGATTAGCATAGTGATTGTACTTAGCACAAAAGATACTGGCGTTTTAATTTGTGCATTTAGTACAGTGTATGCACACATAGTAAATGCTCAGAAGAGATAGTTATTGTTACTATAATTGATTCCCCTCAGTTCCTGGGTACAGTGGAGCCCACAGTATTTAATACATGGTTGGCATAAGTTACCGTAGAAACAGGCTTTGATTTTGATAACCAGAGATGTAGCAACTTCTTACTAGGTAGATGATCACACTCAAAATGATTCTTTGAGGGGCGAGGATATAGCTTAATGGTAAAGCATTTGCTTAGCATATGCATTCAATCCCTAGCACTGCAAAAAAGTTTCTTTGAGCCTCAGTTTTCATATCAGTAAGGTGCAGTTAATAGCTCTATTTGGTAGACAATGGTGAGGTTTAATTGAGGCAGCAGAATCATTTGGCATGTATTACTGAGTTAATATTAGCAGACCTCTATCACTATACCTCCACTGATGGCATCTGTGGGATTTTGTTATAGCAGTTTCCTTTTCTGGCTTGTATTGATGATTTGTCCACATGTTTTACCACCTTTTCTAGACTGGGCTCCTTTGAGAGACTCCTTAAACCCTGTCCTTTATACTCTTTGTCTAGTACATAGAAAATCTTTATGCAAGGTTGTGAGATTGCCTGCTCAGCAAAAATTCTACATGGTTCCAGGAGCTCTAGGGATCATGGAATGTGTTAATATGATTATGAAGAAGTCACAGGCGGGAGACCCTGATGGTGATGGAATAGTTTTGTGTCTTGATTATGGTGTGGTAGTAATCTACACAAGCAGCATAGAACTGTATACTGTATCAGTGTCCTGGTTTTGATATCATACTATAATTATATGAAGTATAAACATGGGATGAAGGAAACTGTGAAGAATATAGGTGACTGCTCTGTTGCCTTTTTATGGCTGTCTAGCCTTGAAATTGCAATCCTGCCTCAGTCTCTTTTTAAAAAAATTTTTATTATTTTTATTTTATGTGTATGAGTGTATTGCCTGCGTGTATGTAAGTGCACCTGTGTTGTGCAGTGCCCACGGAGGTCAGAAGAGGGGATCAGATCCCCTGGGACTGGAGTTAAGGATGGTTGTTCACTGCCATGTGCTGGCAATCGAACCTGGGTGCTCTGCAAGAACAGCCAGTACTCTTAACCATTGAGTTATTTCCCTAGGGCCTCAATCTCTTTTCAAATTTTATTTTTTTTAATTGAATTTGGTGATTTTTGTACTATTTGATAGTATTTAGATCCTCTCCCCTACCCACACCTCTCCTTCTTGCCCCCCCCCCCAATTTGATGTACCATTGGATAGATAGACAGACAGATAGATGCCTATACAGTCGAATTTGTGTCTTCAAATGTCCTTCACTGTGTGTCCATCCACTGGAGCCTGTTTAACCTACCAAGAATCCTGTGCTTGAAAGAGACTGTCTCTGCTTCTCCCAGCAGCCACCTGTTGCCACAATTTCTTAGGTGGGGTTGGAGTTTCTTACCCACTTCCTCATGTCTGTGCTGGGAATTTTTTCTGGTTTGAACTTGCATGGGACTTGTGTGCCACCGTTGCTGTGAGTTCATATGGGTAACTGACCAGCTGTCTGGAAAATTCTGTTTCCTTGTGGTCATCCACCATCTTTGGCTCTTAAAATTCCCCTCCCCCTCCTTCAATGATTCCTGAGCCTTGTGAGGCAGAAGTTTGATATAGGTGCCCTATTCACGGATACGCATTCTTCAGCTTCTTGTTCTCTGCAAGTTGGCAGGTATGGGTTTCTATGTTAATCACCATCAGTTTTATATGGAAACTTCTCTGGTGAGAGCTGTGAGATGCATTAATCATTGGGTATAACAATGTCATTAAGAGTCAGTTTAATATGATAACTATTTAGTAGGAAACTGGTATTAAGGAAGACATTGCCCTTTCTAGACATGGTAGGCATAGGCTAATGAAAAAAATAAAACCTCTATGCCCGGAATGGACTGTCCCTCTAGAAGCTATTGACTAGGGGTCCTATAGACCCTCAAACAATACTGGCCATTGCCTGTGCTCTTGGTTACTCATCAGAACTTGATGGTAAGATCCTATTTCCGAAGATACTACATATATGAACTGTAGAACAAACAGGCAGAATTCCAGCTGGTGCTGACTTCAGAGCCTCATCTCTGCTGGCTAGCGTTCGTAGTACTGGAAGGTAGTGTGCTACTAGAAGGAAAAAATAACCATCAACCTTACCCAGCTGTGAATCCTGTCAACTACAATAACACCTGGCCTGGCAAGATATGCCCACTGGTGCGGTAGTGGCACAAATACTTTAGGAGTAACCAACCACTCTTTAAGGTCTGCTTCTTAGGATGGAGACTAACTACATCTCACATTGCTGTCAGGCTTATGACCCTCTGGCTAGACAGATCACAGGACATAGGGGAGAACTTAATGTTTCAGTCTCTTGAGTGCCGGAATTATAAATATGTGCTCCTCCACCTGGCTTCTGCAACATTCTTTAACTCCATTTTTATTTTTTTTTATTTTTTATTTTTTTATTTTTTTGGTCTTTTTGAGACAGGGTCTCCCTGTAGCCCCAGCTGTCCTGGAACTCACTATGTAGACCAGGCTGGCCTTGAACTCACAGAGATCCTCCTGCCTCTGCCTCCCGAGTGCTGGGATTAAAGGCATGCGCCACCACACCTGGCCTTCCATTTTTATTTTTTAAAAAATGGTTTAAAAAATTTCTCCATAGCTACCTTGTAAGTATATTCTTCCAGGCAGAGTGATGAGTGAGAACGTGAACAAAAGATGGCATTACAGAGTAACATCTCATTAGGGAGAGAATTTTTATTTATTTATTTATTTTTTTGGTCTTTTTGTGACAGGGTCTCCCTGTAGCCCCAGCTGTCCTGGAACTCACTATGTAGACCAGGCTGACCTTGAACTCACAGAGCTCCGCCTGCCTCTGCCTCCCAAGTGCTGGGATTAAAGGCGTGCGCCACCATGCCTGGCTAGGGAGAGCATTTTAAGGAAATACCTTAGTGCTGTAATGATTGATGGCATGCATTTTAAAAAATATTTTATTTTAATTTTATGTGTATGAGTGTATTGCCTACATGTATGTGAGTGTACCCGTGTCATGCAATGCCTTGGAGGTCAGAAGAGGGCTTCGGATTCCCTTGGAAGTGGAGTTAAGGACAGGTCGTAGCTGCCACGTGGTTGCTGGGAATCGAACCTGGGTCCTCTGCAAGAGCAGTCAGTGCTCTTAACCGCTGAGCCATCTTTCCAGCCCTGATGGCGTGCACTTTAATGTTGTTTGAGAGTTTCTATAAATGTGCATGTTACTCTTAACAACCAGGAAAAAAAAAAAAGATAAACATATAGTCAAACTTTGTGTAAAAGTGGGTTATTACAGTGTGGAAGCTCAGAGATACTACTTTTATTTATTTATTTTTTACTTTATTATTTTTTAATTTTATGTGTATGAGTGTATTGCCTGCATGTATGTGAGTGTACCCATGTTGTGCAATGCCACGGAGGTCAGAAGAGGGCTTCAGAGTCCCCTGGAACTGGAGTTAAGGACAGTTTGTAGTCGCCATGTGGGTTCTGGGAATCGAACCCGGGTCCTCTGCAAGAGCAGTCAGTGCTCTTAACTGCTGAGCCATCTGTCTAGCCCCACTTTTATTTTTTATGTGTGGAGGCTAGAGGACAACCATGGGTATTGTTCCTCAGGACCTGTCCACCTTGTTTTTTTGAGACAAGGTCTCTCACTGAGACCCTGGGGCTTGCAGAGGAGGCAGGTGTGCTAGCTGGTGAGCCCCAGGGATCCTCCAATGCTGAGATTATGTGTGTGTGTCACCATGTGGTGCTGGGGTCAAAGTCACTTTCTCATTCTTGGCCCACACTACTGACTGAGTCATCTCCTCAGTCCCCAGATGAGAAGTCCCCCTTTGAGAAGGCTTTCTGGATGGGGTTAATCTCCAACTGGGCAGTAGAAGGGGATACATCAGAAAATGAGAGGGCTGTGGGCCAAGCGGCCTTTATTTTCAACACATTTTGTAGCCTAGCTCTTTTAAATAGAAGATTAAAAACAAACAAACAAACAAACATGGAAAAGTCATTTGGAGTCTTGTAGTGAAACAGTTTCAGGTATCAGGTTGAAATGTTAAAGCTTTTTTTCTTTTTTCTTTCTTTCTTTTTTTTTTTTAAGAGAAAAAGGTGGCTTAGGCCAGCTGGAGCTACAGGGAGACCCTGTTTCAAAAAACAAACAAACAAACATGAAGGGAGCTATAGAAGACTTAAGCTGGGGAGAAGATAGAAAGTTTGATTCTACAGGGAAATATTTGCAATCTAAATTGGAGTGGGTATATTTTGGGGTTCCAGAAGGAAGACCTTTCATTACATCCTCCTTCTGTCTGTCCTCCCTGCAGGGGATGCAGTTTTGTCTGGCTGTAGCACATTGAGCCTGCTGACTGCCACACTGCAGCAACTGAACCGAGTGTTTGAACTGCACCTTGGGCCATGGGGCCCTGGCCAGACAGGCTTTGTGGCTCTTCCCTCCCACCCTGCTGACTCACCTATCATCCTCCAGCTTCAGTTCCTCTTTGATGTGCTGCAGAAAACGCTTTCACTCAAGGTCCTGGGGATGGGAATGGGGCAGGATGTTCAGAGAGCCTATGGGAATGATGGAGGCAGGGGATGGGGTGGGTTTGCAAGCAGTCTGCAGATCTGAGATCTGGAGGATGTCAGTGATATAGGTAGTTACGCTGAGAAAGTGGTGCTGAGGAAAGGGAGACTGCCTTGCCTCAGTGACCTGAATGCTTCTTTTTTTAGCTGGTTCACGTTCCTGGTCCTGACCTTCCAGGGCCCATCAAGATTTTTCCCTTCAAGTCCCTTCGGCAGCTGGAGGTAAGGGAGTCTTGGAGCATGTAGGTGTGCATAACAGTCTTTGGGGATGAGGACAGAGAGATGACCTCTTTTGGTGGGAGACCAGGCCTGAATATACCATTGCTCTGCAGTAATAGTGTCTTTTCCTTTGAACACTACCCTGAGCTGTAGCTGGACTTCGCTGTCTTCTTTCTCTTCCCCATCAGGGAAGACAGAGATGAAGTCTTTGTCTCCTTTTAAGTTTTGCTTTCCTCCCTCCTGTTCTTCTTGTATGCTAGCTCCGAGGTGTCCCCCTCCACTGCCTGCACGGCCTCCGTGGCATCTACTCACAGCTGGAGACTCTGGTTTGCAGCAGGAGCATTCAGGCACTAGAGGTAAGGAGGGTGACGAATGGACCCTCCTTGTGCCTTGTCCTGGAAACAAAAGACCAAGCTCTGTGGTCTCTCCCTGTATTCTCCCTTCCTCTGTTCTTTGTGACCCCATAGCACTCTGTATTTGTCTGTATTTATAGTCACACCTGCCTGTGTTAAATATTCTATATCTAGCCCTCCATAGTCTGTCTGCTCCTTGGGGACAGAGACTCTAACTTTCTTCAAGGATGTCTCTCTAGGTGGAGCCTGGTATATAATGAGTGACTGGACAATAGAGCATGGCATGGTGAGGAAACTGAGAGTGAAGTAGTGACATGCCTGTCCCCTGCCCAGGAAATCTTGTCTGCCTGTGGCGGTGACCTCTGCTCTGCCCTCCCCTGGCTAGCTTTGCTTTCTGCTGACTTCAGCTACAATACTCTGACCCACTTAGATAGCTCCCTGGTGAGTGATTCCTGAGGGATAGGACCTTTGGAGAAGGGAAAGGGTGGGTCCTTTTGGATGAATGCCAACTGTTTGACAAATGTCCTTGTGTAAAGACCAAACTTTCTCTTCCTCCTCTTCCCATCCCCCTCAGCGGCTCTTGTCAGCTCTGCGCTTCTTAAACCTGAGCCACAATCAAGTCCAGGACTGCAAAGGCTTCCTGATGGTAAATGTGATTGCCTAGTGGCTGATATACTTTGGCCTTGGATAACCCTGTTCTCTTTCTCTCTCGGATCAGTTTGTACTCCTTTTAGCTCTTGCCCCTGAGTGGAGCCATATCCTGGGAGTTAGTACTGTTTGGGGCTTCACCTCTAGCATAAGACAAGGCGGAGTTCCCATCTTGGAACATTGAGATGACTTGGGGCAACTGAATCATTCATCTGTAAAGTAGAAATCATAAGAATACCTGTGATGAGTACCCTCTATCACTTAGCCTAGTGCTGGGCTCAGAAATAGTAGATTTTGTGATGATGACAAACCTTCTTCCTAGGTTTTTCTCTCCCCCATCAAAGATAAATAAGGCTGGATAGTTGTGAAAGTGATAAGGATAGATTTCAATCAGTCATAAACTGTAGCACCAGGGAAGAAGGTTCACTGTGAACTGGATGGAGAATGAGGAGGGGATGGGGGTCAATCAGCACACCCAGAGAGTAGAAATTTATAAAAGTCAGGAATAGGGTGTGAGTTCATGTGAAGCACATCTGGGTTTGCTTACTAACTGCACTGGATGGCTTGTTCCCTAAGAGGCTGGGAGACAAGCCCTATCTTTAGCTGAAACAAACAGAATATCTCTTTGGTTGTTTTGAGTATTCCTGGAGCCTTGTCTTCTCCCAGTCAGGAACTGGGGTTGGAATCACCATTCTAGGAGTACAGCCTGGAGCTGTTAGGAACAAAGCTAGTGTTTGTTGAAGTCTTTAAGTGTGGGATGGAGGAAATCATTTGTGTTGAGTCTATAGTTTTTATAGGCCAAGATGGAGTTGAGAAGATGGCTCAGAATACCCTGCTTAGAACTTTGTCAAGTTGAGGACCTTTGCTCTTCTCACCCACTGCCAGGATTTATCTGAGCTGTACTACTTGGACATCTCCTATAACCACCTGTACTTGGTGCCAAGAATGGGACCTTCAGGGGCTGCTCTGGGGATCTTGATACTGCGAGGCAATGAGCTTCGGAACCTTCAGGGTGAGTGGGAAGTGGGGGCGGGGGGCTGGCAACATGAAAGGGAATTGGAGGAGTGAGACTTGAGTAGATCCCGAGACCATCTGCATCTAGAGCCTCCTGAGGACTTAGAGGTAGGACTTGTCTTTTTTGGCTGTGAGTCTGAGCCTTTAATGGCTGTGCCCCCTCTCTAGCCTAAGAGAGGTAGAACTTTGCTACAAGGATTTTTCCTTCTACTTCTGTCCCCAACACACACACTGCCACACCCTCATACCTTACACTATCCTGCATGACCTCTTCCTTCTCTCCTTTCCCCTAGGCTTGGAGCATCTGAGGAACCTGCGGCACCTAGATGTGGCTTATAACCTTTTAGAAGGACACAGGGAGCTATCACCGCTGTGGCTGCTGGCTGAACTCCGTAAAGTAAGACATGGGTGCTTTTTGGACTTGGGTGTCACCTTCAGGTCTGGCCCTCCTATGCCAGAAAGCATCTTCTCATAGGCAGGGCCTGTGGCCCATCTTATTCTCCTTTTTCTGCCCTTCAGCTCTACCTGGAGGGTAACCCTTTGTGGTTCCACCCTGCACACCGTGTAACTACTGCCCAGTACTTGTCACCTCAGGCCAGGGATGCTGCTCATAGTGTGAGTGATGATATAGTGTCTATCCTACTTCCCCTGGGTAAGAGGCCAAAGACTGGGCCTCTGCTATGCTAACCCCCAAGTCGCTGGAGAGGGGCTCCTCTGCCAGCACTGCCCTCTCCTTTGTCTTTGCACAGTTCCTGCTTGATGGTGAGGTTTTGTCACTGAAGGATCTCCAGGTCAGTTGAGTGGGGAGTGAGGACTAATGGGGATGATATGAAGGGAGGGCAGTGGCTAGGGAGACAGGGTAGGAAAGGTCTTCCTGGTCAGTGGAAAGTAGACTCTTCTTCTTGGGTAGCTCAAGCAGGGTATAGGTGATCCCTTGGTTCTGACCTCTTCCTGTTGTCATACTCCAGACTCCAGAATCTTCAGGACTTGGTCCCATGGCTCCACCTTTGCCTTTGTCGTTAGGGAGTACCACTGAAACCTCAGGTGGCCCTGAGCTGAGTGATAGCCTCTCCTCAGGGGGCATTGTGACCCAGGCCCTGCTTCGTAAGGTTAAGGTAGTAGCATCTTTGACTGCTTTGTGCCTGGGATTGGTCTCTTTCCTGGGGCTGTGGGTTCTTGGTGGACTAGCAGTAGCAAGGCCTTATCCTTGCTGGTAGTTGGGGTTTTTGGTAGATTGAGTGGGTAGCCATGGATGGCCAGGTTCAAGGCCCTGATTTTCTTTTTTTAAAATATTTTATTTTATTATTTTTATTTTATGTGTATGAGTGTTATGCCTGCATGTAAGTGTGCCTGTGTTGTGCAATGCCCGCAGAGGACAAAAGAGTCTGTCAGATCCCCTGGGACTGGAGTTACAGACAGTTGTTAGCCGCCATGTGGGTGCTGGGATTCAAACCCAGGTCTTCTGCAAGAACAGTCAGTGTTCTAAACCTCTGAGCCATCTCTCCAGCCCCAAGGCTGTGACTTTCATAGAACTCCATCTGTTTATCCAAACCAGAGCCGAGTTCGTGTGAGGCGGGCAAGCATCTCTGAGCCCAGTGACACAGACCCAGAACTCCGAACTCTGGACCCCTCCCCATCTGGTAAGTTGGCTCTACCTGCTCACTTCCTTCCCACTCCCATCCGGCTCTCTCAGTATGGTGTTACTTTGCAGATGTGATAGGAGAAACTTGATTTTTGGGTGGTATGGAGCATTGTAGAAGGCCTCTTAGTTTGTCATCTTTTAGTTTAGGCAAATGAGGAGGACCTACTCCCAAACAGCATTCTCCAGAACTTCTTAAAAGAGCACAGGTTTCATGGGGGTGTTAAAGATTGACTAATAAAATGATGTGGCTAGATAAATTGGAGAAGTGTAAGGTTAAAGTGAACAGGTTTCTTCCCTATAAGCCATCTCAGGACCTCAGGTGTGTTGCCACGTTTTGTGAATCTCCACAAGCTTTGTTTGACATGTGTTTTTGGATTGCTTGTGACCACAGCATTACATAGGGTGTGCTTGGGAACATAATGCTGAAGGGAGGCCTGTTGAAGAGTAGCCATAGAAAGAGGCTGCGGTCATTTCGGTGGGGGTGGGATCTCAGCTCTATATCCCCCTTCCTCCCAGGCTGGTTTGTACAACAGCATCGGGAGCTCGAGCTGTTGAACAGCTTCCGGGAGCGGTTTGGCTGTGACTGGCTGCAGTATAGGAGCCACCTGGAGACCTCTGGGAGCCCCCCACTCACCACCACCAAGACTCCTGCCCTTAGCACCCCTCCTTTGGATGTCCAGGGCCTGGAGAGTGTATGTAGCCCTCTGGCTACAGAGAAAGCTGAAAGCACTAAGGAGTCACCACAGAAGGTGTCAGAGGAAGACAGGGTGGAACCAGAGCCCCAGAAGGAAGAAGAGAGGGAGGAACAGGATGAAGAGGGAGCAAGAGAAGACCTGGAGGAGGAGGAGCAGGACCAGAAGGAAGTGGAAGGTGAGACGCCTGTGACCAAAGGGAATGAACGTGCCAGATCAGGTGGTGTTGGAATACCAGAACGATTGTGGAGAGGCCAGGTTGGGTGGAAGGCCACTTATGGGATGGCAGAGGATCTAGGCATTTTCCCTCCTCCAGGTGCCACTCTTGATCTCTCCACAGTGGAGCTCTGCCGCCCGATGTTGGTGTGTCCCCTGCAGGGGCTTGCGGGTGTGCGGGGCAAGGAATGCTTTCTCCGAGTCACTTCTGCCCACTTGTTTGAGGTGGAACTCAGAGCAGCTCGAACCCTGGAGCGATTGGAACTGCAGAGTCTGGTGGCTGCTGAGCTAGAGCCAGAGACTGGAACCCAGAGACAACCAGTGCTTGAGGTGAGTTGTGGGGGTCAGGATTGGGAAGAGATGCTTGGCTTTTTCTGGAGCCATCTTTAGTAATGTAGTGTGTCTTGTGTACCAGGCACCTGGCTGGGTGTTTTCTACCTTCTCTCATAGGCACTTGGAGCCAAGGAGTGCTCTGGGAGTGTGAAGGGCTGTTGAGGTGGTTTGGTAGGCTGGGCTGAGGAATAGATTTGGGGCAAGGGCACTAGCTTTTGAATGGATCCAGTGTTACTGTTTTCCTCCATGCTCAGTGTAACCCTGATCCCCCTTCCTCCTGCTCCTGCTGCTTTTTCCTGTTTGTTCCTGTGCAGGACCCAGATCCACTCCCTGGGGCCCCTATTCTTGCACTACGTTTTTCCTACATTTTCCCTGACCGGCAGTTGCGTCGCTATGTGGTACTGGAGCCAGAGGCCCATGAGGCCATCCAGGTGACGAGGTCCAGGAGGCTTTTGGGAGATGGGAAGAATGGAAGGAGCTGCTCCAAGCAGGAGGGTTTGGGGTCTCCTAGACATGTCCAACTGGAGTCCTGCTGACAGCTGCCTTCTGACCCACCACCTTTCAGGAGCTACTTGCTGTGCTGACCCCCTTCACCACTGTGGAACAGCAGCAGCTTGGGAAGGCCAGGAACCCTCAGGAGCCCAGATTCCAGTGTCTGCGTTGTAGCTGTGAATTCAAGCCAGAGGAGTCTATGTTGGGACTGGACAGTGAGGAAGGCTGGAAGCCTCTGTTCCAAAAGACAGGTACCAGCTGTACACTTGACCTCCCTGCCCACACAGCTCCTCTACTGCACAGAAGGCAGCTCTGAGTGCGGGAGTGTGGAGAAGGAATCCCAGGGAGCCAGGCCTTAAGAGAGTGAGGCCAACCATTGGTCAGGGAAGAGAATTGCAACTTCCTGCCTGTTGAGCTGCATTAAACAAATACACCTGAAACTGGATCCTGGCTTTTTTTTTTTCCTGTCAAAGTCAGGAAGTGCCATTCTGTGAGTATGTTTAAACATACTCATTATTTTTTCATAAATTGAAGGCTTTGAGGGTGTTTGGGAGTAACATTTCAGGAATGGCATAAAGCCTAACAAGTCCTCACTGCAGTGCTCGGTTGTCATATGACCTCTGCGAGGTGGCTATTGAATGAGCTGCTTTAGGGGTTGGCACAGTTTGGCTTTCCTTGATGACCTTGTAAGCTATGTGATAGGATGTGGTGCCTTGTGACCTCTCTTTATATTCTGCTTTTGAAGGGATTGTTCTTTTACAGGCCAATCAAAAGTAAGGGCTTTGAAGATGTTGAAAAAGGAAGGGGTACTCTGGATATCAGCTGTGCTGAAGGCGTGCTTTTTATCAGCCACTTTTCTCAGCAGCAGATATCACAGGACTAAGTTCTTTTTTCCATTGAAACAGTTCTTTGCCATGACCTATTGTGAGCCTGCCCTAGCAGGCTCAGCAGGCAGTGGAATGGTCCAGCCCTTTCTGGACCCTGGCTGTACTCCATAGGTCCTGCAGCTACTGCATCCCTCCTATGTTGGCATTTCTTTTATTTTTGTATTTTAATTTTGGTGTTTTGAGACAGAGTCTCACAAAGCTAGGCTGGTCTCAAACTTCTTATATAGCCGAAACTGACCTTGAACTTCTAATCCTCACGCCTCTGTCTCCCAGATGCTAAGATGACAGTGTGTGCCCACTGTTCCTGGCTCTGTGGTAGCCTTTTTATTTTGTTTTTTTGTTTCTTTGAGAGAGGGTTTCTCTATAGCCCCAGCTGGCCTGTAACTATGTAGACCAGGCTGGCCTCAAACTCACAGAGATCCGCCTGCCTCTGCGTCCCAAGTGCTGGGATTAAAGGCCTGCACCACCATGCCCAGACTTGTGGTAGCGTTTTTAAAGATTTATTTATTTTTCTTGTGTGTATATGAGTGTAAGTGTGTGTTGATGTGCCTCTGTACCTGTGTCTGCACATGGAGGCTAGAGGTCAACCTTGGCTGTCTTCCTCAATCACTTTGTACCTTATATTTTGAGACCATCTCTCACTGAACCTGGAGCTCATCATGGCTAGACTGGCTGGCCAGTAAGCTCCAGGGATTTGCCTATCTCCACCTCCACAATACTGGGGTTACAGGCACCTGTTACTATGCTGTTTACATGGGGGCTATGGATCCAAACTCAGATATTCATGCTTATGTGACAGGTGCTTTATGAACTTAGCCATTTCCCCAGCTCTGATTTTAGTCTTTCAGTCATTGTAGGTAGAGCCCTGCAGTACTTGATTAACCCAAGGAAGGGAACCAGAGTGGGGCCTGGAATTTGAAGGTGGGATATATATTTTAGGAAACTATGGGCCATGGGCTAGTATAGCCCTCACGGAGATATGGAAGGGTCAGTCAGAGGCTATGTCTGGAGATGGGGTTAGGGGTTGGCAATGGTGACCATGACTGGACCTGGAGATACAGTTCCACAGAGGCCAGAGAGTAGCAGGGAATATACGAGCATAGTAGGATGTGCTCTTGGGAGGCTCACGGAGTCTCTGCTCTTCTCTCCAGAGTCTCCTGTCGTGTGTCCAAACTGTAGGAGTGACCATGTGGTTCTCTTGACTGTGTCTGGGGAAACCCCTAGCAGAGAGCAGAATGAAGGGGACAAGACACCAGCCCCTTCCTGGTCCCCCAGCCCTGTCTATGACTCTGCTGGCCACAGTGACCATCCCAATGGGCCTGATAGCATCCCACCTCAAACATCCATATCCCGTGTCTGCAGCAGCTGGAGCCTCAGCCCATGTGAGTATAGGCAAAACAAGATGGAGGTGTGCTTAGGGCAGGGATGGGTACTGGGCAGGGGGTGGTGAGATGGAGCTTTGGGCTGCCGGAGGCAGGATGATGACCTGTTGGTTGCCCCTAGCCCCTGGATGCTGCAACCTGCGTTCTGTGGACCACCGACTCCGGCTCTTCCTAGATGTTGAAGTGTTCAGTGACTCTGAAGAGGAGTTTCAGTGCTGTGTCAAGGTCTGTGATGCCTGGTGCTGCGTGTGCCATCCATTAATCCACATGCCCACTGTCCACTCGTGCTGTGGGTGGCAGATCGAGTGCTTGGTTTTCAACAATAGCAGATACTTGCTCTGTGGCTCTGGGTGTGTTCCTTCACATTTGGGACTCAGTTGTCCACTCCTGGTAGAGATAATGCTCCCTGATTTAGTGTGGAAGCTGAGGGCTGATGTCTGAGTTGCTCAGCAGAGCGCCTGGCACTCAGTAAATGGATCCTCCTGTCAGAACAAACAAACAGTGTTATTCCCTCCATGTTCTGGACACTTAGACTCTGCCATCTAGTAGTCTTGCCCTCAGTTTTAGAGTCTGGTCTGAGAAACAGGATCATGTAGTGTGAAACTACAGCAGTTGGGGTGAAGTTCTAGAAGGGTCCTCTTATCCAGCCTGTGTGGGTTCACACTTTAGGGGAAGGAAGCCACAAATGCACAGATGCTTGAGAAAGAGGATCCTGTGGGAAGACTGCCTGGGATGGGACAGCCAGTGTGCAGGCTGGGAGGCAGATGTCCCTGGGGCAGGCTGGCCTGTTCAGTAGTCTGGTATGTCTGCCAGGGAGTTTGGACGGGACCCAGGGGCCACCCAGAGGATTTGAAGCAGGGAACTAACAGTCAAGTTTGTTGTTTAAGATGGGCTGGTTGAGTGTAGAGGATGGGTTGGAAGAGGTGAGTGGACAAGCAGGGAGGCCTGCTAAGAGACCCTGGGATTGGAGGAAGGGCAGAGTTGCAGGTAGAGAGTGGTGGAGTGATGGATGAGAAACTGTTGAGCACAAAGTCACCTGGGCAGTAATGATTAGTGGTTGGGATACCACTCAGTGTTGGGTCTGGTACGTGCCTCCTTGGTTCTTTCTTCTGGTTTCTTGTCAACTCGCCTTTCTCTTAGGTGCCAGTGGTGCTGGCAGGCCACGCAGGGGAGTTTCTGTGTCTCGTGGTCGTGTCTGACCACAGACTCTACATGTTAAAGGTGACAGGGGCCATCTGGTGAGTGTGCCATGTATGTAGCTGGGGCAGCATCAGGGCTTCCCTGTCCATCTTGTCCTATCCTGTTCTTATTCTTGGTTGCTCTACTCCTTCCACAGCGGGCCTCCTGCTAGCTGGCTCCAGCCAACCCTGGCCATTCCCCTGCAGGATCTGAGTGGCATGGAGCTGGGCCTGGCAGGCCAGAGCCTTTGGCTGGAGTGGGCGGCTGGGACTGGCAACTGTGTGCTACTGCCCCGAGATGCCAGGCTTTGCCGGGCCTTCCTTGAGGAGCTCATTGGTGAGGGAGAGGCTGGGAGGGTAGAGCACAGAGGCCAGGCCTTCCAGGCCTGCCCTTCTGTTTGATGCCCAGCAGTGGAGATGGGAGTCATGGAACTCCCTTCTCTCTCAACCCCCTCTAATAGAAGTTCTCCAAGTCCAGAATTATGGAGGATAGGCAAAGTGGAGAGGTAGAGAGTTTGGGATAGAGGATTGCTAAGGTCCCTCAAGATTTCTGTCTCTGGTTGGCTCTATCCAGGTGTTTTGCAGTCTCTGCCCCCCACCCAGAGGAACTGCATCAGTGCCACAGAGGAGGAGGTGACCCCGAAGCATCGGCTTTGGTGAGTCAACAGGAGGTCAGGGTGTAGGTGGTGTCCAGGTTCTCTCTCCAGAGTCCAGACGTGGTCTTGTCCTGTGCTGACACCCATCCTCCCTCTCTTTCCTTGAAGCTGTTCCTTGAATGATTCTTTTTCTGTGTCTGCCTCTTGTCTCTTCAGGCCATTGCTGGGAAAAGATACTTCCTCAGAGACTCCCCAGTTCTTCTACCTTCGGGCCTTCCTGGTTGACGGTAAGGCCTTTGCTGCAGATGCTTCTGTAGTTTCTGTGCCCCTTGTCCTAGGTCACTGGCTGATCCCCATTACCTCCATAGTGCCCTTGTAGTAATTTTCAGTTCCTGAAATCTAGACTCCTTGCCCTTGTAGGCATGCCCACATGACAGTCTTGGTGTTTCCTACTTCTCCAGGTGGGGTCAGGAGGCCCTTGGAGCTTCAGCTGCCCAGAGGCCTTGACTTTGAGATTCAGGTTCCTAAAGTGGGTAGATTGACTAGGTCTGCTCCTTTCATCTTGTCAAGAGGCTGCCAGCCCTTGTCTTGGGTGGCTGGTGCAATGGCTCCCTTAATCTGGACTCGGGGCTTTTGGTGTTGAGGGGTCCCTGGAATTTATGGAAGCTATGGGACCCAGGCTACTTTGTGGCCCACCCTTTAGTATGGTTCTTACCTCTTTTCCTGAGCAGTTCTGGGGACACTGGCCTTGGGGATCTGTTCCCGCCATAGCCTTCCACTCTGGGTCTTACCCTGTCTCTCTCCCTACAGGTTCTTCTACCTGCCCCGTGTCCCTGTTGCTGACATTGCCCACCCTGTACCTATTAGATGAGGACCCTACAGGGTCCCAGGCAGAATCCCCCCTCCCAGTGGCATCTGGTGAAGCCTCTAAACAGGCCCCTCCTCTGGGGCCAGGTCCTTCCATGCACGTCAGGGAGCAGCAGCCACTCAGCAGTCTGAGCTCAGTGCAGCTCTATCGCACAAGCCCCCTGGACTTGCGGCTGGTCTTCTACGATGAGGTAGGGGTGTGCGTGCTTGCGTGCGTGCATGTAGTAGCCAGTGAGGGCAGTATGGAAATGCATCTAAGAAGGATGAGAATTAGATGAAAATGATGCTAAGGGATGGGCAGGCATGTAGTGGGAATACAGTTGGGGGTGAGGACCTGGGTTTGGATGAGCAGCATGCATAGAGGAAAGCAGCAGTCAGTAGTGGGAATGTTCTAGCCTTGGAGCCGAAGTAGGAGGCCTGCAGTGAAATACCTAGTTGCTGAGAGTTGGTATGTTCAGTCTGCCCACTGTGTGCCAACTGCTTGACCTTCACAACCCCAGCATAAGGAGGAGATACTATTACTGGTTTGTATTACAGATGAGGAAACCAAGGCTTGATGATATGAACAAACTTGCCCAGGCCACAAGTGCTGTAGTCAGAAATTGAACGCACACATTTCTTAAGAGTTGACTCCAGAACTCATATTCCCTATAGCCAGGAAGATTAGAGATGGGGACACAAACACTTTTGTTTTCAGGGCTCAGGGTCAGCCACTTAATACAGAGTGACATAGGTCTAGGTAGGGGAAGAGATGATGAGGGAGAAGAGCTTGGAGAACCCAAGGAGGATGATTAGTTCTCTCCTAAGGCCTTCTTTGCCTCCTGGTGTGTCTCCCTGTATGTCTCACTTTGCCAAATGCTTGTTCTACCAGGTGTCTCGGCTGGAGAGTTTTTGGGCACTCCGTGTTGTGTGTGGGGAGCAGCTGACAGCCCTGCTAGACTGGATCCGGGAGCCGTGGGAGGAATTGTTCTCCATTGGACTCCGGACTATAACCCAGGAGGCTCTGGACCTTGACCGGTGAGGCTTCCTGAGCGTTCTTTGACTCAGGAATCCCACTGCAGAAGTTCCTTCTCCTGGTCTCTGGGCCTGTGTTCCTGCTTCACTACAGACTTCTACAGACTGGGTCGCTGGCCAGTGAGGCCCCAAATGACCCACAGCTTAAGGGAAGGATGAGAGAAATGATTTTGCCCTTAGGTGAACTGCCCTGTAGGGCAGACTAAGTGGTCAGTAAGAATGTTTCTCCATCACTTTTTCTCAGGTATGAATAAAGTTGTTTCCATCCCAGATGTCATGGGAGGTATTTATGTGTCACAGGTACTTAGAAGCCTGCCATTCCCCTAATCTCTTTCTGCATGGAGAGCCCTAAGCAACCTGTTCATACCATGTGACCTGTCCCTAACTCTATTCTGGCCAAGTAGAACTCCTGACTTAGGTGTACCCAGTCCTCAAGCTATCAGTGACCTATTATGTGGCTCCACATGGGATCACTGCCAATCAAACAGCCAGGCCTCTTAGATTCTTGCTTTTGAATTCTAATTGGAACTAGTGAGACCTCATGCCATAGCAGAGAACCACTGGGAGATGGGGTCTGGGAGAGGGGGTGCGGCCTTGGCCATGGAGGGAGGAGTTGGCACTTGGAGCTTTCTGCACTTACCAGCTTTTCACCACACTGCCTGCCCCAACCCAGGGGCTTCAGTGGGTTGGTTTTCTTCCTCTACCTTTGTCTCCACGTCTGGCTGGCCGTAGTGATTAACTCAGGAATGCTCTTGTGACTTGGTATGGCTCACCAAAGCTCAGCCTTGGTGGTTGGTTGCTGGGGGTTGCTGAGAGGACAAGCTGGAGTCTGGCCATGAGGAGAGAGGTCTCTTGAAAATGGAGCCATGAAGACCAGAAGATGGAGCCTAGGGGAGCAAGCAAAACTTTATCTTGGTCATTCCTTGGGCCTTCAAGTCCAGTTGTGCCTGATGGCAGATATTTTTGTGATTTTAGATTATGTGACCTGAAGAAGCCTCTTTGTATGTGTATATATGTGTTATGTGAGTGTACCTTAAGATTATTTGAACCAAGTATGGGCTTCTGAAAGGGTGTTAACTAAATGAACTTTTTTTTTTTTTGTCTTTTTGAGACAGGGTCTCCCTGTAGCCCCAGCTGTCCTGGATCTCATTATGTAGACCACTTTGGCCTCGAACTCACAAAGATCTGCCTGCCTCTGCCTCCCAAATGCTGGGATCAAAGGCGTGTGCCACCACCCCGGCAACTAAATGAACTTTTATTCCAACTTGAACTAACTTGGTCAGGGATCTTTTTCTTATACCCAAAGTGAACATAGTAGGAACGTATATGTGCCCCACATATTGGTGTAGAGAAGCCCTGGTTCTTGGTTCCCATGCCTGAATGAGCAGTGTGAGTAATTAGCTCACCCTGTTTGGCTGCCAGGCCTAAGGCGCTGCCCAGTTTGTGGTCTATATGGTGGGACAGCAGAGCTTGGGATCTTTCACCTGGAACCCTAGCCTGATAAAACCATCACATCTCTCCATCCTTTGGGTTCAAGTAGTTACAAATGAACAGGGGACCATTTTTAAGTTTACTTGAAAATTAGCAAACTCACCCTTCAAAAGTTTATATTGTAAATAAGGATTTGCAACAAAATGTGAGATGTCATCACTGACCCTGTAAGTCACCTCTAGAGCCAAGCATTGTTCTTCCTCCCTGCATCTGAAATTTCAGTGCATATATACTCTTGTGCACATTTCCCCTAGAGAAGGGTATTTAAACTACTCAACCCTCTAAAAGACTTTCCTAAGATTAGTTTCTCCCAGGCAGTATCCTGCTCTGGTCTGGCAGGAGGGTGAGGGGGAAATGCTGAGCCTTTGGACTGGCCAGTGAGAGGTGCTGGCTGGGTAGCTTTCCCTTGGTAACAGGCCTGCCAGAAGGCAGGGGACCCAGAAGGGCCTGTGGAGAGGCTCACAGAATAACTTTACCTACTTCCCTTTTTGCTCAGAGCTGCCCTGAATTCTTAATTGAAGTAAATTAAAACTTCCCAAAAATATTAGTCCACTTTCTCAGTGATGTGCCTAGCCCCTTCCTATCAGTGACTTTGTGTCATCAGCAAATAGGAGCCAATGCTGGGCCAGAGGAAGGCCTTCCCAGCCTCTGGACCAAAGCCATCTTTTGCATGGCTCCCTTAGCAAGGACATCTCCAGAAACAAGAGTCATGATTCAGTGGGGCAGAGGAATCTCCAGTTGTTTAGGCTGATGTGCAAGGAAGTGTGAGGCTGGAGAGTCAGAGAAGGTTCTTCCAATTCTTTGTGCTTCGAATTTCTGGGAACATCTTTGTTTAACTGTGCCAGTCCTTGGCAGTGTTGTGCAAAGTTGTTCTTGCTTTGATGACCCAGAAGATGGATTCTCAGGCCTGATGCTTTTACCACTTGGGGAGGTGTTTGACCCCTTTAGCTTTGTGCCTCACCAGAAACTATAATTATTTAGGCACTTGCTTTCAGGTGACTGTACTTCCTGTATCCCACTGTGCTTAGGTCTGGTGACTGCTTTGCTGACACTGTAGGCACAGGTGTCAGGAGGCACACACTTCACACATTCTGGACTGTCCCCAGAGATCGATTTGTCTGTTTAGTCTGGTCTTTCCCCTCTAGCAAGTGCTTATTGATTGGCTGGCCTCTGGCTGGCCTCAGGCTGGCATGAAGGACACTTAGCAAAGGCTTTGTGGCTCAGGGAAAGCAGCAGAGAGAGGATTCTTCCTCCTGAAATAGAACCATAACACTGCATCTGCATCGCATCTTCCTTAGTAAAGAGTGGGGAAGGAGGCTGTGAGTTCCCATTTGCTTGTATTTGTTTAAGCCCAGGAGGGATAAACAAGGAACAGTGGGAGATGAAGACGAGACCAAGGTAGAAGGGGCTAAAGTGGGACTGGAGGTTTAAAACATTTTAAAATTTAAACCTGAATGTATTAATAGTTCCAAAAATTATACCGATGATTTATATGCAGTCCTATTGGGTCTGTGGCCAAACTGAGTTGTCTAAACATTGATTCCTAAGACTGGCAAAGGTGGGGGGCACATCAGCTAAAGGATCCATCTTTCTATAGAGTATGCTCCTTTGGACAAGACATTTTTGACAGTGATGAGTGGCATCCTTCTTCCTTTGTTAAGATGCTGCAGTCACTTTGAGAAGACCCTGTCCAGGTTGCTTAGTTGTACTTGGAGCTTCAGCTATGGTTCTGTGTGTGATGCCTTACCTAACTCAGGACATGCATGATTTTGCATCCATCTACAAGGGTTAGTGTGGTTGTATAGAAAAGACACAAGATTTAGAATTCAAGGGTCTCCAGTTATGCCTTAGTTTTATGATTCATTGCTTGGCTGCAGACAGGTAACTTACCTCTGCTCTCTCATCTACAGTGTGGGCCTGAGGCTAATCAATAACCTATCTACACCACAAAGCTATTGAATGTATATGGAAGTACTCAGCAAATTATGAAGCATTAAATAAATGCTGGCTATAAAACCTGCCTAGTTGCTACATATTGCTTTGTCACCTAGGAACCTAGGAATGTTCTTTGTAATTGGAAGAGTGGATGCCTGTGTCTTACTGCCTGTGTGTTTATGAGTGACTATTTCCCCCGTGTGCCTTGGAGAAAACTCAGACACTTCTGGAGATAGCAGTAAGTTAGGGCATGCTTTTTCTTGGCCCATCCTTTTGTCATCTGATCATTTGGAATTTGCTGACTTTGCTGACCTCCACAAAAACATTCTTTAGTTTTTTACTTGCTATAATTACATATGCACTTGCTTTCAACTTCACAGATATTTACTCTGTGTTACTCAAATGTCCCTGGCTTTATGGAGAGAAGGACGCAAGGAAGAACCTGACATGATTCTCTTTCAGGGTCTCACTATGTAACTCTGGCTGGTGCTAAACTTGAGATCCTCTTGTCTTAGCTTTCCAAGAACTGGGATTACAGGTGTGAACAAGCACATGCAGCACAATGCCCATTTTAACAACATACTTAGTGCTGGTCTATGTACTCATCATTCCTTTGACATTATTATGATCACCCTGGAGGAGAAGATCTACATTTACAGATGAGGAAGCTGAGGCTTATGTTACTCAGGTAGGCTCACATTTGGACCCTCTGTCTACAGAATCTGTGCTCTTTTCCTTAAACCATATTGCCTCTTAGACCTTAGAGAAGGCCCATCTGTTTATGTACCACCTTCCAGGGATACCATGTCCTGAAGAACACCATCCAGATCATTCAACTGTCTTTCCAAGGCTCTTCCCACTTCCCTAACCACCCCCGCAACTGCATACCTGATTCTTTCATATCCTTTGGATCTTTGCTTAATGGTTGCCTCCTTCCAGAGGATGGCCCCAGGCCTGCCACCTGAATCTTCTCTGTTACTTGGCTTTTCCTTCATGGTACTTGCCATACATGCCTAATCATTAAGCTATGTGTTTGCTTGTTTTTTCCCCAAATATATACATAACACTTGGCATGGATATAGAGTAATGTAGGAGTCTTAGTATATGAACTTGAGTATACAGGAAATAGTACTTTATATTTTTTAAATGACCAGACTTTAATTTCAAGCCCCTATCCCATGGGTTTGGCAGGGCTCTCTGATTTTACTATTTCCCTTTTATGTCTTGGATAACACCATCCTGTTTTGCAGATTAAGGAGGGGAAAGGTCTGTTCCTCCACCCCTCCCCAGTTTCTGGCCAAGACTTATGTTTCTCTTGCTAACCCACTTCTTTTTCTTCCCTGGAAACCACCCTTGACTTTGGCTCTGGGTGAACAAAAAGGCAGAAAGGCTGGTAGGCCTGATTCCCTCAGACAACACAATTCCAGCAGGCTACTTATTCAGGGGTGACAGAGGAACATGAAAGTACACAGACTCACATCTCAAAATGCCATTCTAGGGGTGGAGAGATGGCACAGCTGTTAAACGCTAAGGCTAACAACCAGAACGGCAAAATGCCGTCCTAATATAAACATGTCAGGAAGGCTGGTCTAGAGGGTGAATTCTTCAAGATGACAGTAAGGGATAGTGGTGCTGTCCAGACACTGGATTTGTGTCAGAGTTGAGGTCAGGGATGTGTGGATTATGATGAGATAAACCACTGTAGAGTAACAACAATAGTAAATAAGAGTGACAGTTACTGAACACCTGTGCCAAGCACTGATGTGGTATTATATTACAGCATCTCTGACTCCAGAGCCTGGGCCCTTACTCAGTGCCACCTCACTGTGAAAGTAAGCCTTACCTGAACCCAGTCAATAGCAAATGGTCCTGAGTGCTATGTTCTGGGGAGCAGGGAGATAGTTCTGGAAAGAGTCTTAAGTGACAACCTAGGCTCAATGAACCCATACTCACTGTGTAGGTTTAAGATTACCAATGCAAGTATTGGTCCATTGGGGCTGGGGTGTGGCTCAGTGGTTGAATGCTATTTTAGCATGGGTGAAGCCCTGGGTTCAATCTCCAGTAAATTAAAGAAAAAGGATTTGTCTATTGGCCAAAGAGTGCCAGAATCTACCTGATAGAAGGTCAAAGCTATTCTGGGTCTCTCTGCCTTTTGGGAGATTGCATGAATGGCAAATTTAAGTTGTCCCTAAGATATATAGCTCTGCTAACCATAAGCTAATGTCCACTTATTTCGTATGTGTACATATTGTCATTTCCTATGCAGGTTATCTGAGGACTTTGCATTTGGGAACTCTCGTCTCTTAGGTTTGTAGCAGTATTGAAACTAGCCAACATTTCCCCAGCACTATGTGCTAAGTCACTGACACACTGGCACTGTGCTACACACAGATGAACTCATTTTATACTCTCAACAACCTCATTGTTACCACCAGAGAATCTGAGACCTAGAGACTGTGATAAATAATTTGTTCAAGGTCATGCAGTTATCAAGAGGCCAAGCTGGGTTTATGATCTCAGGCTGCTTGGCCTCAAGGGTCTCATGCTTAACTTCTCTCCTCTGTAACCTCTAATAGCAAAGATGCAGTCTTGAAAAATTCACCTGGGAAGCTATTCATCTATTTCAGTTTTGCACATGGCTTGGAAGGTTTAGCAGTTGCATAGGGCATCAAGACATGGTGGCATGCTGTGGTATTCAGGGGTAAATGTTAGACTTGAGCCAGAGGCTCTGAGGCTCACTTGGCTGCACTGCTTATGGGTCTTTAATCTTGGAACAAGCTACTTATATTTCATGAACCTTATTTTTCTCACCTGTCAAACAGGATGTTCTACTTCAGAAGGTTGCTGTGAGGGACCATGAGAATATGAAAGTGCCTTGTAAGGTGGAAAGAACCCCTTAAATTCCAGGTTAAAATATTATCATCGTTGTTATCATTAAGAGTAAAGGATAGGTGCTGAATCTGACAACCTGAGAATCAACTCCCATTGGTTGTCTTCTGACCCCCACTTGAGTGCCACGCCATGCACGCTTTCCCAATAAATGTAATAAGATATTTTTTAAAGAGAAAAGGGTGGAGATAATTCAGTACGGCAGTCATCACAAGAGAGGTCAGGTCACTGAGGACCACTGCCTCATAGCTTCTCTGCCAGCTCCCTCATGTCAGCACCATGCATGCCTGGTGCCTGCTCTGTCTTTGACCCGGACTCTGCCCTTTCCCTGACCCTATCAGCCAGGTTGCTTAGCTGCAAACAGTGATTTTAAGCTGGAGAGGGATTTATTTATTTTTATTTTTTTAAAAGATTTACTTACTTTTTGAGTTCTAGGCCAGCTTAAAAAAAAGATATACTTTTATTTATGTGTATGTGTATTTCTGCATGTATGTATGTGTGCCACATGCATGCCTGGTGCCCGAGGCTAGAAGGGAGTGTTGGATTCCCTGGAACTGGAGTTATAGGTGGCCATCAACCAACATGTTGGGTGCTGGGAACAGAACCCAGGTCTTCAGCAAGAGCAGCCAGTGCTTTTAACTGCTAAGCTGTCTCTCCAGCTCTCTGGAGAGGGATATATGAAAGAAAAGAGTGAATTATTAAGAGTATTTTGGGGAGGAATATAGAGCTAAGAATCATGAGCAGCTACCACAAGAGCTACTATAGAAGAAACACTACCATTATTAGGTACCAAAGCCTCTGCACTACTATCCTTAGCTCTACTCCATCCCATGATCAGAGGTGGTATCCTCCTGAGCATGTCACTTATGAGTTCAGGCCTTGTACCAGAGAGTAACTGGTAGAACTCAGGTCACTGTCTTATCCTAGTAGCAAGGGCGTCAAGACGTTGTTTTCTAGCTTCTACCTTGGCAAAGAGGACTTAAAATACAAGAAATGACCAAAACATAAGAGAGAAGTTTCAAAGGTTTAGTTAACAACTGATGACAAATATCAGCTACATTGGTCTAGATTCTATATGTTGGACCCCAAGATGGTGATTCCAGGGAGTGGCTGTGAGAGAAATCCACCCTAGAGTGCTTTTGGCCCAGTTGTGTCTCCAAGTGTAAAAACAGTGTGCTTGTGTCGCCAAGTCTGGATGCTGGAATGAGTCTTGCTTCCCTGGTCAGAAGGGATGGGCTGTGGTGGTATTGCAGGTACTGTACGTACCAGGAAATCATTCTAGGGCATCATCTTGCAGGGTGGGAAGTTCAAGTCAGATTGGATTGTGCGGGAGGTATGTGGGGTAGATGCTGCTTTGAGCTTGCCAGTCACTGGCTTCTTCTGCCTTTTCTGTCACCTTTCCTGTCAACAGTTGAACATGTATAGCCTCTGAGTTTGATGCTGACACACACCAGAGTGGCCATCCTTTGTGCATGCATGGGACACTGTTGTCACAGTAATGAAGACCCCATCAGAAGGCACGGTGGGGGGCTGACAAATACAGGTGTGCCGGAGGCAGGATGCCACGAGACCTGCAGGCATAATGAAAGAATACATTATGTCAAATAGAATGAACTAGGAGAAAACAAGTGGTGGGTGGGTGTCATCTCCTGTTCACCCTGCCCCAGAATGCAAGATGAACATGGGGCTTGCAAAAACCTTTCCAGGGGAGATTTTACCCTATCATCCCAGAGATACAGATTGTAGAGGGAGGAACTTGTGGAAACTGAAGTTTCTTACTCTGGGTGGGGTGGGGTTTCTGTGTTATCCTGAGTACAGGATACATAGAGCCCAGCACACTAAGGCTCCCAGGTTGGCAAGACCCTTCTCAGGCTGTTTGTATATGAAAGTAGCTGCCATGACTTTACAGGTAGAGAGGGGAGAGGGGAGAGGGGAGGAGAG